GCCTGGCAGTTCTCAAAAGGTTAAATGCAGAGTTACCCTATGACCCAGCAATTCTACTACTAAGTATATACCCACAAGAAATGAAAACTACCATGTCCACACAAAAATGTACATGAATGTTCATAGCTGCATCGTTCATGAAAGCCAAAAGTGGAAACAGCCAAAATGTCCATCAATGGATGAATGGATGAATGGATAAATACAATGTGGTGTATGTATAAAATGGATTATTTGGCAATAAAAAAAAAATGCTACAACATGAATGAACCTTGAAGAAATAATACTCCGTTAAGACACCAGACCCAGCTGGGCGCGGTGGCTCACGCCTGTAATCCCAGCACTTTGGAAGGCCAAGGCGGGTGGATCACGAGGTCAAGAGATCGAGACCATCCTGGCAAACACGGTGAAACCCCGTCTCTACTAAAAATACAAAAAAATTAGCTGGGCATGGTGGCGCGTGCCTGTAATCCCAGCTACTCAGGAGGCTGAGGCAGGAGAATCGCCTGAACCCAGGAGGCGGAGGTTGCGGTGAGCCGAGACCGCACCATTGCACTCCAGCCTAGGTAACAAGAGCACAACTCCGTCTCAAAAAAAAAAAAAAAAAAAAAAAAGACACCAGACCCAAAAGACCAAGTATTATATGATTCCATTTACATCAAATTACTTAGAGTCTATAGAATCTACAGAGTAGGAAAATCTATGGAGACAGAACGTAGAATTGTGGTTGTCTTGGAGTTGGTGTGGGGAAGGGGAGAATGAGGAGTGACCGCTAGTGGCTATGAGCTTTCTGGGGTGATGAAAATGTTCTAAAATGATCTTTTGTGAGGATTGCACAACTTTATGGTCACTCTAAAGCCAATGAATTGCAGACCTTAAATGGATAAATTGCATAGTATGTGAATTATCTCAATAAAGTTGTCAAATATGCAGAAAAAGGTAAATTGAGTCTATGAACAGTGTTTCTCCAACTTCACTATCCCTAAGAATCACCTGGAGTTCTTTTAAAAATGCACAGTCCTGGGCCACTCCACCCTAGACTTCTGACTCAGAGGATCTGGAGAGAGACCCAAGAGTCTACACTTCTAACCAGTAGCCCCAGTTGATTCTGATGCTCTGGGAACACTGATAGATGCTATGTGCTCTAACCAGGGAGTCTGTGATTTCTAGTTTACAGGGTGAATTCTTCATCAGCCACTCCAGGAACAGGGATGGACGTGTCTTAGGTAGTTCCAGGCTGGATCAGTCTCTCTTCTGCTTCTTCCCTAAACTTTTAGCAATTTACGTTCCAAGAGTAAAGGTTTTAGAGGCTTTTGTTGTTGTTTTTGAGGCAGAGTTTCGCTCTTATTGCCCAGTCTAGAGTGCAATGGTGTAATCTCGGCTCACCACAACCTCCACCTCCTGGGTTCAAGTGATTCTCTTGCCTTAGCCTCCCAAGTAGCTGGGGTTACAGGCACGTACCACCATGCCTGGCTAATTTTGGATTTTTCGTACAGACAGGGTTTCTCTGTGTTGGTGAGACTGGTCTCAAATTCCTGACCTCAGATGATCCGCCCACCTCAGCCTCCTGAAGTGCTGGGATTACAGGTGTGAGCCACCTCACCCAGCCCAGAGGCAGTTATTTTTCCACTTAATCAGTGTTCACTGGATAAACCAACTTTTAAAAAGTGAAGTAGAAGCTGGGCACAAAGTGGCTCAAGCCTGTAATCCCAGCACTTTGGAAGGCTGAGGCAGGCAGATTGCCTGAGGTCAGGAGTTCCAGACCAGCCTGGCCAATATGGTGAAACCCCATCTCTACTAAAAATACAAAAATGAGCCAGTGTAGTGGCATGGGCCTGTAGTCCTGGCTACTCGAGAGGCTGAGGTAGGAGAACTGCTTGAACCCAGGACATGGAAGTTGCAGTGAGCGGAGATCATACCATTGCACTCTAGACTGGGCAATAAGAGGGAAATCTCAAAAAGTAAAAAATGAAGTAGAAATGAATGGAAAAGATTAAAAGTCTTAACAGTTACCTTACTATACTCGTATTATATGTTCCCCCAACTCTGTAATCTGGTGGTTGGATATATTTTTTTAATTAAAAAATTAAAAAAAATTTTTTTTTGAAACATGGTCTCACTTTGTCAACCAGGCCAGAGTGCATGATCTCGACTCACTGCAGCCTCAACCTCCTGAGTTCAAGAGATCTTCCTGCCTCAATCCCCCAAGTAGCCTGGACTACAGGCGCTGGCCAACATGCCTCGCTAATTCTTTTTTTTTTTTTTTTTTTTTTTTTTTTGAGACGGAGTTTCGCTCTTGTTACCCAGGCTGGAGTGCAATGGCGCAATCTCGGCTCACCGCAACCTCTGCCTCCTGGGTTCAGGCAATTCTCCTGCCTCAGCCTCCTGAGTAGCTGGGATTACAGGCACGCACCACCATGCCCAGCTAATTTTTTGTATTTTTTAGTAGAGACGGGGTTTCACCATGTTGACCAGGACGGTCTTGATCTCTTGACCTCGTGATCCACCCGCCTCGGCCTCCCAAAGTGCTGGGATTACAGGCTTGAGCCACCGCACCCGGCCATAATTCTTATATTTTTAGTAGAGATGGGGTTTCACCATGTTGGCCAGGCTAGTCTCGAAACCCTGAGCTCAGGCGATCTGCCTGCCTCGGCCTCCCAAGGTGCTGCAATTACAGGCATGAGCCACTGCACCTGGCTGGTGACTGGATATTACTTTGGGTCCCCAGTCAACATTCATCCTAACCAGCTGTCATGATGTTGGCAGCATGTCAGGAACTGGCGGGAGTCTCCTGCACCAGCAGGTCTGTGGGAAACAGGCTAACAGCCTCCCAAAGATGTCCAGATCCTGATTCCTGGAACCTGTGAGTATGTTAACTTATTCGGTAAAGGGGAACTAAGGTTGCACAAGAATTAAAGTTGTTCATCAGATTATCCTGGTGGGTCCAATGTAAACACTGGGGTCCTTAAAAGTGATTTCATACATATATATATATATATATATATATATATATATATTTTTTTTTTTTTTTTTTTTTCTTTGAGACAGAGTTTCGCTCTTGTTACCCAGGCTGGAGTGCAATGGCACGATCTCGGCTCACCGCAACCTCCGCCTCCTGGGTTCAGGCAATTCTCCTGCCTCAGCCTCCTGAGTAGCTGGGATTACAGGCACGCGCCACCATGCCCAGCTAATTTTTGGTATTTTTAGTAGAGACGGGGTTTCACTATGTTGACCGGGATGGTCTCGATCTCTTGACCTCGTGATCCACCCGCCTTGGCCTCCCAAAGTGCTGGGATTACAGGCTTGAGCCACCGCGCCCGGCCCTTTTTTTTTTTTTTTTTTTTTTTTTTTTAGACGGAGTGTGGCTCTTGTTACCCAGGCTGGAGTGCAATGGTGCGATCTCGGCTCACCGCAACCTCCGCCTCCTGGGTTCAGATAATTCTCCTGCCTCAGCCTCCTGAGTAGCTGGGATTACAGGCACGCACCACCATGCCCAGCTAATTTTTTGTATTTTTAATAGAGACGGGGTTTCACCATGTTGACCAGGATGGTCTCGATCTCTTGACCTTGTGATCCGCCCGCCTCGGCCTCCCAAAGTGCTGGGATTACAGGCTTGAGCCACGGCACCCGGCAAAAGTGATTATATTTTTAAGATCACTTTTAAAAATGAAGAGGGAACAGATAAGGGTGAAGGAGAGATGTAAGAATGGAGGCAGGTCCAAGAGGTAAGATGCTGTCAGCTTTGCAGATGGAGGAAGGGGTCACAGGCCAAAGAATGCACGTGGCCTTTAGAAGCTGGGAAAGGCAAGTAAATCGATTCTCTCCCAGAACCCTGAGCAAGGAATGCAACTCTGACCACACTTTGATTTTAACTCAGTGAGACCCATGTCAGACTTCTGATTTCTAGATCTGGAAGATAAATTTGTGTCGTTTTTAACCACCATATTTGTCAGGACAGCAACAGGAAACTGATACAAAAACCTAGTGATGAGGTTCTGAAAGCCAGGAACCCTGCCTGGTGCCTCACAGTGGACCCACAGAATCATCTTCATATGCACGGGAGGGAAGCATCATCAGTGTCCACCGGCACCGGCACCAGCATCCTTAGCCACGAGGACAATTCCCTTGCCCTCCCCGGCAGGTTTCATCTGCGTAATGGAAATAGTGGTGAATTTAACAGGGGTTGTCAATAGCTGATAGAAAAAGGTGAAGTCATTGCCAAAGTTCCCAGGCCATATGGACAGCTGCTCCCCAATAATCACTGTTCCATGCAGTCCAAGGGGGGCTGCGATTGACCCCCCGACAGGATGAGGGGACATTTTAGTGTGCAGTACACATCCTTACAGGTAGATTTAAAACACCGGCAGTGACCCCTGCCCCAAGAAGGCCATGAACTGCGACACTACGGTGTGAAGCGCTCAGCTTCCCCACAATGGGAACTGCAGTCACGGCAGCTCCTTCCCCTCATCACCAAGGCTCAGAATCTTTCTTCTACTCCTCCCTTACCCAATGCAATTGCCATCAAACGCGGCCTGTGCTGCACCCAAATGGCTCCAGCTCCCTGGCTCTCTCCTCTCCCATGAATACTCCCACAATCTGAGGCTCCGACTGTCTCCCTCGCCCCAATATCTCACAGCTCCAACTCGTTGCCGTCCCTGCAGGGCCGCCCCTCCCCCCCGCCCCGAGCTGCAACCATGGGACAGGGCCGATGTGGGTAGGGGATATCGGGAAGGCAGCACCGGGTGGGGCGGACGCCGCCCGGGGCCGGCGGGCGAGTGCCGGGCTCCTAGGTGGGGTGGCGTTGGGGCTTTGGCCAGGAGAAGCAGGGAGGGGCGAGGATCAGGGAGGAAATCGCGGAAGACACCACAGGAGGCGGCCTGAGCGCCAGGACGCGGACCCCTCTTCAGCACCCGCAGCCCTCGGGACCCCCGGGAGAGCCGGGCCAGGGACGTGTCCACGCCGGGGACGTGGGACCCTCCCCGCCCGCTGGGGCCCGTCCTCACCGACGGCAGCGGGCCCTCCCTCTCCAGCGACAGCGCCACGACGGGTCCCTCAGCCTCTGTGCCGAGGGCCCCCGCCTCAGCTCGCGCCGTCACCTCAAGCCGGGGTCACGGCGTGAGCATGCGCAGCAAGGCTGCGGGGGCCGCTCTCCTGGCTGGGGCAGCTCCTCCGGGTTTTGCCCCAGCGGCGTAGAGCAGGGAGTCTGGCCAATCGGAGGGCGGAGGCGGGGCCAGGATTCCATAAGTGGGCGGGAACACCAGGGATTGGGTGTCGCCATCCGGGGACGGAGCCTCGGAGGATCTTCGGTCTGGGTTGGTCCTGGTCGAGGTTCTCCCAGCAGCGGTGAGGTGAGCTTCAGTGATACCCCGGTCTGCCTCAAGGATTTGACTCTGGCTCCCTACGGGGGAAACTGGAGCATTTGTTTAAAGGTTTTGTTCGCCCCCGTCGGGATACTGAGCGTGCGGAGGGAAGGTCTTAAGGCTCATGGAAGCCGCCGCCTTGTGTTCAGCTGTGCATCCTTGAAGACGCAACAGACTCATCCGCGCCATTGGTGCAGCCCTCGCCCATTAGTCCCGCCCTCGCTCAGTAGTTCAGCGCCTACTCAATCATTTATCTCTCGTTATTGGTCCAGCCTTGGCCCACAGGCCCCGCCCTCTTTGCTCCCCATCCGCCTTCACCCGGCCAATAGTGCTCCGGGTACACTCATCCTCCAACCACGCAGTGCCGTGGGACCGGGCTGGCTCCAGGCACAGGGAGCTTCGGGGCGCTGCTTTATTGGGACACATGATGCAGCTGCCAGAGCGGCCCCAGCACAGCACCCTGGGCTCACCGTGGCTCTTCCAGCCCCGCGGCGTCAACCCCCTCTGCCCGCCCCTTGGCCCCCACCAAGCGCTGCTCCGTGCCCCCCCCCGAAACAGCCGCTGGAGGTGCCCCCGCCCCAGGGCTCCAGGATCCAGGTGGAGGTACTCTGGAGCCTCCGCACCCTCCGCACCCTCCGCACCCTCCGCCTTCTCCCGTCGGAGTGCCAGCTGCGCTGCACGCGCTTCCTCGACCCTGCCCCCAAACAAAGTATGTAGCTGGTCTCGAGTGCAGATTTTTTTTTTTTTTTTTTTTTTTTTTTGAGACGGAGTTTCGCTCTTGTTACCCAGGCTGGAGTGCAATGGCGCGATCTCGGCTCACCGCAACCTCCGCCTCCTGGGTTCAGGCAATTCTCCTGCCTCAGCCTTCTGAGTAGCTGGGATTACAGGCACGCGCCACCATGCCCAGCTAATTTTTTGTATTTTTAGTAGAGACGGGGTTTTCACCATGTTGAGCAGGATGGTCTCGATCTCTTGACCTCGTGATCCACCCGCCTCGGCCTCCCAAAGTGCTGAGATTACAGGCTTGAGCCACCGCGTCTGGCTCGAGTGCAGATTTAAAAGTTTGCTTGCCTTCAGGAGGCCAAGTCTGGCCCCCACAGGTAAATGCATAGAAAAGGGAGGAATATTTTAATAGCCTTTTCAGATAATTGTGGCTATTCTTCTTTGATACTACATCAAACCTCAGGTGGTAGGGGTTTTTCTGATTGCTTGTGGGGTTTTTTGTTTTGTTTTTGTTTTTGTTTTTTGAGACAGAGTTTTTTCCTCGAACTCCTGCCCTCGTGATCCGCGCCCGCCTCGGCCTTCCAAAGTGCTGGCGTGTGAGCAACCGCGCCTGGCCAAGTGGTGGGTTGTTTTTTTTTTTTTTTTTTTTTTTTTTTTTTGAAACAGTCTCGCTCTGTCTCCCAGGCTGGAGTTCAGTGGCGTGATCTCAGCTCACTGCAACCTCTTACTCCCTGGGTGAAGCAATTCTCCTGCCTCAGCCTCCTAAATAGCTGGGATTACAGGCATGTGCCACCACGCCCAGCTAATTTTTTTTTTTTTTTTTTTTTTTTTTTTTTTTTTTTGAGACGGAGTTTCACTCTTGTTACCCAGGCTGGAGTGCAATGGCGCGATCTCGGCTCACCGCAACCTCCGCCTCCTGGGTTCAGGCAATTCTCCTGCCTCAGCCTCCTGAGTAGCTGGGATTACAGGCACGCGCCACCATGCCCAGCTAATTTTTGGTATTTTTAGTAGAGACGGGGTTTCACCCTGTTGACCAGGTTGGTCTCGATCTCTCGACCTCGTGATCCACCCGCCTCGGCCTCCCAAAGTGCTGGGATTACAGGCTTGAGCCACCGCGCCCGGCCCAGCTAATTTTTATATTTTTAGTAGAGATGGGTTTCACCATGTTGGCCAGGATGATCTTGATCTCCTGACCTCGTGATCTGCCCACCTCAGCCTCCCAAAGTATTAGGATTACAGGCGTGAGCCACCACCCCTGGCCCCAAGTGGTATTTCTTAAAGGTTAGTTGCAGTGTGGAATCTGAAATAGCATCGGTACAATTTTTGCATTCGATTACGTTAAAATCCGTTGGTTAGCAGGGCTAGGTGACTCATGCCTGTAATCCCAGTACTTTGGGAGGCTGAGGAGGATGGATTGTTTGAGTTCAAGACCAGCCTGGACAACATGGCAGAAACCTATCTCTACAAAAATTTAAAAATTATCTGGGTGCACGGGTGCATGCCTGTAGTCCCAGCTACTCAGGAGATTGAGGTGGGAGGATCCCTTAAGCCCAAGAATCCAAGGCTGCAATGAGTCAACAAAGAAAGACCCTGTCTCAAAATAATAGTAATAATAATAATACATTGGTCTTTTAGCACTTTGGAAGGATCTTGTACCCACATGTGGTTTCGTAACACCATGGATTTGTTTTTTAGAAAATAATTGGTTCATTGAGTAATGCACATCTTATGAATTTTGACATGTTTTATTATATAAAAATAGGACATTCATTCTCATTGCCACCAAACTCACTAGAAAAGTCTTAAAGTATTGGGAAGTTGTAAAATGAATGGTGACAAATACAAATTTTCAAAAAGATTTTTTTTTTTAAGACAGAGTCTCATTCTGTCACCCAGCCTGGTGTGCAATGGTGTGATCTCTGCTTACTGCAACCTCTGCCTCCTAGATTCAAGCAATTCTCCTGCCTCAGCCTCCTGAGTAGCGGGGATTACAGGTGCCCACTATCATGCCTGGTTAATTTGTTGTATTTTTAGTAGAGACCGGGTTTCACCATGTTGGCCAGGCTGGTCTCAAACTCCTTACCTCAGGTGATCCACCCACCTGTCTCCCAAAGTGTTTAGAATTAAGGTGTGAGCCACTGTGCCCAGCCTCGAAATTTTAATTTTTGCTTGAAAGTTAGAATTTTTATTTATTTTTATTTTATTTATTTATTTTTTTAAGGCTAGTCAAGTAAAGCAGTGGGAGTGGAGAAGGAATAAACAAATCTGTAACTGGTTGTGATCAATTAGTTGTGAACACCACTGCACTCGGACCAACCAGAATTTATTTTTTTTTTTTTTTATGAGACGAAGTCTTGCTCTGTTGCCCAGGTTGGAGTACAGTGGCGCCATCTTGGCTCACTGCAACCTCTGCTTCCTGGGTTCAAGCAATTCTCCTGTCTCAGCCTCTCAAGTAGCTGGGACTACAGGAATACACCACCACGCCCGGCTAATTTTTGTATTTTTAGTAGAGATGGGGTTTCACCATATTGGTCAGGCTGGTCTTGAACTCTTGACCTCAGGTGATCCATCCACCTCAGCCTCCCAAAGTACTTGGATTGCAGGTGCGAGCCACCACTCCCAGCTGAAAGTTAGAATTTTGTCCCTGGCAACAAATAGTATCAGTTGTTTTCCTTCAAGTGACAGACTCACTTCTCACTTTTCTTTCTTTTTGAGACAGGATTTCACTCCATCACCCAGGCTGGAGTGCAGTGGTGTGATCTCAGCTCACTACAACCTCCGCCTCCTGGGTTTAAGTGATTCTTGTGTCTTAGCCTCCTGTGTAGCTGGAATTATAAGCACATGCCACCACACCTGAATAATTTTTTTTAATTTTAGTAGAGAGGAGGTTTCAACATTTTGGTCAGGCTGGTCTCAAACCCCTGGCCTCAAGTGACCTATCCACCTCAGCCTCTCAAAGTGTCGAGATTACAGGCATGAGCCACTGCACCTGGCCCTCACTTTTCTCATTTTTGAGAAAATGACTGCCAAACACCCACATCTGAATAACCACAGCTTGTCAGTGGTTCTATCAAAAACAGTGTTGTTCCACAAAAAAAGTAGCTAGTTCATAGCACACATCATTTTTCTAGAGACAATCGTATGCCCAGAGATCCTCTGTATTTCCTCTTTCCCATTTCAGCAAAATACTAAAAAGATGTGGACTCAAGAGCTAAGAATTGATAAAATGAACAATTCTATGTGGCTTCAGCAAGGTTTTTTTTGTTTTGTTTTGTTTTTTTTTTAGTTTTGCTCTTGTCACCCAAGCTGGAGTGCAATGGCGAAATCTTGGCTTGCTGCAACCTCCACCTCCCCGGTTCAAGCGATTCTCTTGCCTCAGCCTCTCAAGTAGCTGGGACTACAGGCACCCACCACCATGCCTGGCTTTGCTTTTCTTTCTTTCTTTTTTTTTTTTTTTTTTTCACTCACCAAGGCTAGAGTGAAATTATGGGATCTTGGCTCACTGCAACCTCTGCCTCCTGGGTTCAAGCAATTTTCCTTCCTCAGCCTCCCAAGTATCTGAGATTACAGGCACCTGCCACCATGCCTGGCTAATTTTTGTATTTTTACTAGAGACGGGATTTCACCATGTTGGCCAGACTGGTCTCTACTGAGACCAGCTCAGCCGCAGAGACCCCCACTCAGGTAGTGCTGAAGGCATTCAGAAGCAAACACCCAAATAGAACAGCAAAATGGGTCTATCTGAGTGGGGTACTAACAGCCTTCCAAGCTGAGAGCCTCAAGCGCTGACAGCATTCTGGTCTGAAGACCTTGAGCAGACTCTGACCCATGTAGTTAGTCTCTCTGAACAGGTGATGATTATTAACAAACAGCTGTTTGGCATTTTCTCACAATGCAAAAATATACCAAGTAGGCAGCTGGTGCCCACTTACCACTGATCACAGACAAACTAAAAAGTACTCTCCACGAGGGAGCCACAAGGGCAGGGTCAGATGTTCCGAGCTTAAAGAATTGTTTTAACTGGTGTGTGATATTTATATATTGTCCTGCCACTTTAAAATGGCCCAAGTAGTTTCCTACTTGCAGGAGACCGGCTAGGTTTTCCTTGCCATTATTCCTAGCA